GAGCGGCTCGCGCCCGCGCGCGGCGCGACAGGAGACCGAGATGGCCACTGCTAGCGATGCCGACGACACCACGTGCGCGATCTGCTTGCAAGTGCTGCTGGACGGCACGGAGGTTCGGACGCTCGGCTGCCTTCACAAATACCACGCTTACTGCGTGGACATGCACCTCGACGTCCACAACATGCAGTTCGACGATTTCCCCTGCCCGCAATGTCGAACGACGGAGCGGGCCCTGGGGAGGGCGGAGGCGGCGCTGACAGGCAGCCCACCCGACGCCGCCGACGACGCCGACGAGGTCGACACCGTCATCACCGACATGACGCCGCCCAGCAGCCCGCAGTTGCGGCGTGCGCCGCGGCCGCCCCAGGAGACGCAGGTTGTGCCCGCTGAGGCGGTGGACGGGGCGGGCTCGGTGCCACCGCCAAGCCCGGCATCGCCGCCGAGGGCGGAGGCGATGCCCACGGCGGCGGCGAAGGCTGGGGCGCGGCCAATGGCGAAGCCAAAGCCGAAGCCGAAGGCGACGGCGAAGACGAAGCCGAAGGCCAAGCCCAAGGCGAGGGCGGCGGTCGTCTCCGTCTTGAGCACGATGGCGCCGCGGGGCGCCGACGACCCGCCCGACGCAGCGGGCGCCCCTCCCGAGGCGCCCGAGGACGCGCCGCCGCTTGATGGCGACGCCGCCGCCGAGGAGCACCCGCCTGGGGCGCCTTTCCCAGAGTTGCCGCCGCAGCCGCCCGCCCAGATGCGCCGGGAGCCGACGATGATCACGCGCCCCACGTTCATGCACGACGTTCGGTTGCGACGCGGGTGGTGCAACGAAGAGGTAACTGCAGACAGGGCTCGGTTGAGGGGCAAGTCGCAGCAGAAGTACAGGTGCGACCGTTGCAATGTCCACATCACGCAGCTCAGCCGCGAGTTCGGCGAGTTCCCGAGCAGCGACTTCAAGCGCCTGGGCCAGGAGACGCAGCAGGCCTTCTTCAAGGACGTGCGCGACGTCTCCAGCGGGAAGATGGTGGTCGCCAAAGTCAAGGAGCTCATGCGGAGCTACGAGAATCACGAGGGCTACTACGCCGAGGGAGGGGAGTTCCTCCCCTTAGGCGCGTGGAGCACGCGCGGCTTCGATGCCGCGCTCATCGAGGCCAGCAGCCTGGAGAAGGACCAGAGGCAGCGCAGGGTCTTGGGCGCAACGTACCGCGCCCCGATCCTGTCTGGAGGCCATCGTGGAGCCAGGGGCACCGAGCGGTCCCACGTCGCCGAGGCCTCGCACCCCTCCAAGAAGATCAAGAAGACGACAGTCGCTGACGCCGACGAGGAGCCCGATGAGGAGCCTTCGGACGACGACGACTCGGACTCCAGCTCGGACTCGGGCAGCAGCTCGGACGACAAGAAGAACAAGAAAAAGAAGAAGGCGAAGAAGGCGAAGAAGCAGAAAAATAAGGCAGCGAAGAATGAACGGGCGAGGAAGGAGAAGGATCGCAAGAAGGCGCTGGAGGAGAAGGAGAGGGCCAAGCAGGAGAGGAAGGCCGCCGTCGAGAGCCGCAAGGTGGCGGCGGCGAATGGCAAGTTGGCCGACAGCATCGAGAAAAAGGTGACGGAGACGTTGGCGGCCATCAAAAGGGTGGTGTGCCATCGCTTGTTCCCTGAGTTCCGCCAGAGCATCAAGGATGACATGAACGCGTTCCAGGCCAAGCTGCAGTGCATGTCGCAGGACATCGAGAAGGTCCAGAACGGTGTCGGCAGCCCCATCCGCTACGCGAGCACGACCGCCGAGGCCAAGGCCTCCGCGGCTACTGAAATCCCCTTTGAGCTTATAACGCACTTGGCAATCCTTCCCCATCCCTCCTCCTCCTCCGCCCTCCTCTTCCTCCTTATGGGCTCTCGTCGTCGCCGTCGTCGCGGTCGTGGTCGCGTTCGGCATCTTAGGGCTCTTCGGGATCTGAGGGCCCTTATGGCTCGTAGGGCTCATATGGCTCCTAGGGCCCATCGGGCTCCGACGGATCACAGGGCCCCTGAGGCCTCTTCGGGCTCTCAGAGTTCCGGTTGCCATTAGGGCTCTCAGGGATCTTAGTGTTCCTAGGGCGCTTAGGAGCCTTGGGGCTCTTAGGGCTCCCAGGGCTATCAGAGCTCTCAGGGCTCTTATGGCCCTTAGGGCACCGCGGGCGCGCGGGGCTCTGAGGGCTCTTGGGGCTCTTATGGCTCGCGCGGCTTTTCTTGGAGCTCTCTTAGGGCCCCGATGACTCAATTGTATCATAGAGCTCTGTTGATTGCTCCTGGGGCATTTCGGGCTCTGGGGGCCTTGCGACTCTTCGGGCTGTTGGGGCCCCTATGATCATTCGGGGCCCTCAGGGCCCTTGGGGCTCGCAGAGCTCATGGGGCTCTAAGGACTCTTTGGGCGCCCAGGGCTCTTTGTGCACTTACGGCTCTCAGGGTTCTTATAGGTCTCTTATGGTACTTAGGGCCCTTGAGAGTCTCGGGGTTCCCAGGGCGCGTCGGGCTTTCAGGGCTCTTAGGGCTCTTAGACTCCAGGGCCCTCGGCCCTTGCATGAGATCCCATGGCCCTGGGGCCCATTGGCACAGGTGCTACTTGTGCGTTGGGAGGACGGGCGGGAGCGAGCGAGGCGGCTTAAGCCAGGGTGGATACCATGGAGTGCCCAAGACATTTCATCATGGCCCCTAGAGGGCCTGAGAGAGCGCAACGTGGTCTCCAAGACGCCCCACCTCTCGGGGCCACATGTGCGCCCTCTCGGGGCCTTCTGAGGGTCTGGGCCTCGTGCCTCCCGAGGCCTTCCTGACCGACGTGGGCCGCAAGCTTCGCACGGCCCAGACCTTGTTGGATCTGAACGGCCGCTTCGGCGCGGCGTGAAGGTCAGCCTGATGGTCACGTGCGAGATGATCGTCGACGACTGAAGGGCCATCGGAGGTTGAGGTGTGCGACTTCCTCAGGGCCTCGAGCTTTCTGCGCATCAGCATACCTTGCGTGGCCCCGTCGAGGAGTAATTCTTCGACCGAGGGCCTAGGTTGCCGTCGGAACAAGGGCAGGCGGCACGCCGACCTCGCTTTCTCCCTCGTCGGAAACGGAGCGAGCGGCCCACATCCTCCTCGTCGCCCTCTCCACCCCCCCGTCGTCCTCCTCGTAGTCTTCCTCGTCGGCCACCGCGCCCCTCCACCAACATTCCCGACGCTTCGCGCGCCCCCGCCAGCCCATCCAGAAACGACGCCCAGGCGAGCTGATGAGGGAGGAGGGACAAGGCTGGCGAATAGGATGAGGAGGAGGAGGAGGTGGAGGAGGAGGATGAGGGGGGGGGGGAGAAGGGGGGGAGTTGGAGCTACAACTGGCCTTTGACCAGCTGGGGTGCGGCTAGCGACGCTAACACCGCCGATGGCAGCCGCTCCAGGCGGCATGTCACCGCCCCCCGGGCATCGCTGTTTTTTTTTTTGGGGGGGGGGTCCGAGGGCCGAGGGCGAGAGCGATGGGGCGGTGGCGCACTGTGCTGAAGCCCTCGCTGCGGATGCCCCTCGATGGGGAGGGTGGGGCGGCGGTGGGCGGGCGCTCCTGGGGCCATGCTGGAGCCCTGAGCCCCATCCAGGCAATCTTGGAGCCATCTTGATGCCTCGGGGGGGCGTCGGAAGCGAAATGGCGAGAACGCGCGCCATGCCGATTTGCTGTTGGGTTTTGTTCCCAACCATCCTGCGGTGTTGGGTCTTCGTTTTGAAGAGACAGCGCCCGCGTTCACCTCCTCCTCCCGCTGCCCCCTCCATCCTCCTCTATCATCATCATCGTCATCATCGTCATCATCATCATCGTCATCATCGACGTCATCACCACCATCACCATCGTCATCATCATCATCACCCATTTCGGCACACCCCTCACACGCTTCGTGTCCCCAGAGGGAGCTCCACCGAAGGCCCCAGTAGCAGGGTTCGCATGGCGGCCTCGGGCCATTTCGGCACACCCCTCACGAGGATCGTGGCCCCATAGGGAGCTCCACCGAAGGCCCCAGTGGCAGGGTTCACATGGCGGCCTCGAGCCATTTCGGCACACCCCTCACGAGGATCGCGGCCCCATAGGGAGCTCCACCGAAGGCCCCAGTGGCAGGGCTCGCTCGGGCCATTTCGGCACACCCCTCACGAGGATCGCGGCCCCATAGGGAGCTCCACCGAAGGCCCCAGCGGCAGGGTTCGCATGGCGGCCTCGGGCCATTTCGGCACACCCCTCACGAGGACCGTGGCCCCATAGGGAGCTCCACCGAAGGCCCCAGCGGCAGGGTTCGCATGGCGGCCTCGGGCCATTTCGGCACACCCTCACGAGAACCGTGGCCCCATAGGAGCTCCACCGAAGGCCCCAGTGGCAGGGTTCGCATGGCGGCCTCGGGCCATTTCGGCACACTCCTCACGAGGACCGTGGCCCCATAGGGAGCTCCATCGAAGGCCCCAGCGGCAGGGTTCGCATGGCGGCCCCGGGCAATTTCGGCACACCCCTCACGAGGACCGTGGCCCCATAGGGAGCTCCACCGAAGGCCCCAGCGGCAGGGTTCGCATGGCGGCCTCGGGCCATTTCGGCACACCCCTCGCACGGTTCGTGGCCTCAGAGGGAGTTCCACCGAAGTCCCCAGTGGCAGGGTTCGCATGGCGGCCCCGCCCCACGTCGGCACGCTCCTTCACGCGGGTCGTGGCAGCATAGGGAGCTCCACCGAAGGCGGCACCCACCACGCGGTACCCTCAATTGCATGCGGTTGGGCTCTTCGCCAGGGTATATATATATATATATATATATATATATATATACATACGTAGGAGGGAGGAGGAGGTGGAGGAGGAGGGCAAGGAAGGAGGAGGAGGGGGGGGAGGGGGTGGAGGACACGCTCAAAAAGGAGGAGAAGGAGGAGGAGGTGGAGGATGTGTCGCTCTGCTCGAGCACCTGCGCTTCGCGCTCGAGGCCCTAGAAATGGCCCGCGCGGTCGCGCGGCCTCGCGGCGCAGCGAGCAACGCTGCAGCGATGCTCAGCGCATCTGCAGGGCCCGCCCGCGTCCGTCGTCCCACGGGTTCTCCACGTCGCGCCAGCCCGCCTGATCGTCCCACGCGTGAGACTGCACCCACGACTGCGCCTCCCACCTGTACTTCTCCTTGGGCACCATGCGGATCGACCTGCCCCTGTAGTCGTGGCCGCGCCACTCGCCGCCGTTCGTTTTGAACGGCACCGTGGTCTTGAGCACCGCGTCCGTCAGCTTGGGGCCGCCGACGTCCTTGCTGGCGCCGCCGAGGCAATTGAACTGCACGACCATCATGTTGTTCGGCCAGTAGCTCACGTTGCCGTGCCAGTCGGTCACGTGCCACTCGTTCGAATTCGAACGAGACATGTACATGGCGTAGTTGTGCTGCTTCTCGATGTGCATCAAGGTCTCGAGATACGGCGACGTTTCAGGCGTCGACTCGTTGATGTAGTCGTACACCGTCAGGGTGCGCTGCATAAACGCTGGCGCCGCCATGGCAACAGTTGGAGAGCCCAGGACAATTCGCAAACAGAGAGCGGCGGTCCCGCTGCTCGAGCCCAAACTTGGCTACGCATGTATCCCTATACATAGGGGCACGTCCACCAACAGCTCAATGGTCAGAGGGGCGAGAGGAAGAGGGACGATGGGAGGGGGGACGAGGAGAAAGAGGGATCAGAGGAGGAGCAGGTTTTTCATTATATATATATATGTATGCATGTGTATATATATGTATATTGGGGGGGGGGGGGGGGGGGCATGGAGAGCCCTTTGGCCGCTTGGAGCCGTCCTTGGGCGGTCTTGGGCCCTCTTGGGCCATCTTGGAAGCCACCTTGAGCGACGCACGCACACACACAAACACGCGCACACACGCACACACACACACACACACACACGCACACCACACACACACGCGCACACACGCACACACACACACCACCACAACACGCACACACACACACACACACGGCACACACAAACCACACAACACACACGCACACGCACACGCACACGCACAGCACACGCACACGCACACGCACCACGCACACGCACACGCCCAGCACAGCACACGCACACGCAACGCACACGCACACGCATACGCACACGCTCACGCACACGCCACACGCCACACGCCTCACGCGACACGCACACGCCCGCGCACACGCACACGCCACACGCACACCTAACACGCACACGCACGCGCACACGCACACGCACGCGCACACGCACACGCCACACGCACACGCACACGCACACGCACACGCCACACGCCACACGCACACGCACACACGCACACACACACACACACACACACACGCGCGCGCACGCCACACGCCACACGCCACACGCACACGCACGCGCAGGCGCGCACGCACACGCACACGCCACACGCCACACGCCACACGCCACACGCACACGCATACGCACGCGCACACGCATACGCACGCGCACACGCACACCCACACGCCACACGACACGCGCACACGCACACGC